AATCGTTACGGTGGCCAATTTACCATTTCAACTTTGTTGATATATCCAAATTATTTCGTTACTCCCACCGACGCAGCCCCAAACAGTTTCTTTCGAGACTATCAGCCTTTATAAATTTTATATTGTTATTCGTTTCGGCATATATTTACTAAGAAAAATCGATCAAAATGGCCATAGCTGTAATTAAGGCCGGTTGTCAAGGTGTTTGAAACTTGGAAAGCGGCTGTAACATTATCATGTTTAACCAACTTCTGCCTTATTTCAGGTTAAATTTGTTGATTGAGCTCTTCACTTACCACAAGAATGATACATAAGTGCATCTTGTTTTCATAAAAACACCTGCAGAAAAATAAATTATTTTATATTTTATTTTCCAGGTCGGAGCAACGTTTCCCACGAATCTGCATGAACATTTCCTTAAAAATGTGAATTTTTAGAAACAGAAGATAAGTTGTCATTTTTCTCACAAATCGTGTTACTACATTATATGAACTTAGTCACTAGAGTTAAATGTTGTTCGTATAAGCAACCGTATTTCGGCATGAACGTGTGAAGTTTAAAATTGTCACGTCTAAATGTCTAGAGGTAAATGCTCTCCTCACAAACTTACCTAAGAGCCATGTTTGACCGCGCCCGATTTCAGTTTGTTATCAAGTATTCCCGTCGTCGAAGTATGGATCGGTTGCTTAACTGTAAAAGTGATGTCAGCTCTGTGAAACCCAAAGAGAGAATCTAAAACGCTGCGAAGGAAGGAATTCGAACTATGATTCAGTATGTAGCAACTTACTTGTGTCTTCCCAATTTTTGTGAAACTAAACCATATAAACAAGAAGGCTAATCTACCAAAAAGTTATTCCTACAAGACCGTATTTTAACTGAAATTTGAGAGACCATACGAATTTCATTAAAATAGCGGAAAATCTCCTTGATTAAAGCTATAAACACTTTTAAGATGCGTATATCTTGCATCGGTCAAATTTCGATGATATCAGTTGTATGCCATTAGCAGTTGAATCAACAAACACACTCCGACGCCTATATCTTCTATTCATCTAAATGATAGAGGGAATATGTCCGTCTCAAATATCGCAAAAGGCGTTTGAGATCCCATTCTCCGTTAGGAAGCAATAAATGCCAAGTCTTCACCTCACTATCTCAACTTTTTGCATTTAAGACATAAATATTAACAATGCTTTGGGGAGATTATATCAAAAGTCTGCAAACTATAGTTTTGATGATGAGGTCGGATTGTAAAAGGAAAATAGATGGACTTTACTTTACTAGCTGGTACCGGTAAAATATGACGCAGAGATAAGTTCTTACACGCAACGTATTGAGTACAAATTTTGTATGCATTTTTTAAAACAAATATTTGATGAAGCAATAATTGAAAACACAGAACAAAAAGTAAATAAGCATTTACCTCGGTTTTATCGAGTCAAATTCAAAAGCAAACTGAGCCAGTATACACCCACAAAGAGAGCTAAGTTTCAGTGAAAGTTTTAAACGAACTCTTACATCAGTGCAATGCATTAAACATCTGCTGCCTGTCATGACTCATCTCAGCTTTTAGGTGCATAGATTAATAATTAAAATTACTTCCTCCACTTGCCAGTCTGAAAACTCACCGGCGTCCTTCTTACGATTTCCCAGACCAACTCTTTTGAATCACGTAACTTTACTTATAGCTAAAACAGAGTGCTTAAAAATGAAAAGAAAAGAAAAAGGAAAGGTAAAAAAAGCTAAGGGCAAAAACATCTAGCTATAGGTTCCCAGGTTATCCATATTTCAAAAATGCCGAATCACCCCCAAAGTGTTGTTATTGTCATAAATCTTTTGTTTCTAAAGACGATTATTATAACCTGACAGTTTCAATCATCATAAACCGTGAAACGAAATATAGCTTGACAAATGCTCTGATAGCCTTCGATTCAGAGAGCCGACACCTCTAACCGCAACGGTGTAACAAGCACAAGAATTGTCAATTAAAGTCGAAACCCGGCTATGTAGCGAACATTTAGGGTTATTTTCTTTTTTGCAAAAGGCTTTATTCAGGATCTGAAGCTTAAACGCTGAAATAATAGTGAAATTTCCTTTTCCTTTTGAGCAAACAGAGAAATATGAAATCGAATGTATCGCGCTAATATGGCGTAACATACCGAAAATCCATTGTTAGGGTTCTGATACTGGTCTGAGTTTCTTTTGATGTGGGAATTAGCTAAGTGGATTTTCTGCCTTACTCCCGGTGCCTGATCGAGTCTTATAATAACCCCTATCAATAATCGAGTGTCTAATATAAGCTAACGTAAATTGAGGTCCACATTATCAAAAAGGTCTTATGGAGAAATTTTTGTTTTTATCATAGCACACTTTAAAGCTTTTGGTATCAACAAAGTTGTAAAGAAATTGAAAAAAGTTTCCAGTCTAGTCAACTTTCAAGGAGTATCCTGACTCAGTTCTGCCTGTTTTGTTTGTAGTGCAGTTTCTGCTCATGCCTTTTCAAATTTTGCATTCAACTAATTTTAATTTGAACTTAACAGCCACATACGTGTGCAACTATTTAGTTGTGAAGTCCTGAAACGCAGTTGAAGATTTTCAAAATTCGACGAATATCTAACAGGTAATACTACAGTTGAAATACTTAACATATTCATACTCATACCCGTAAATACTCAGTTGTGCGTATCTTCCTTCAGCGTGTTTCCCTTCTGTTCATGGGTTACCGTGATCCCAAGTTGTTAACTCTGTAGTCACAAACTGCATGCGTTACTGGATTACATATAGCTCGATTGTATTTCACGGAAGTATATGACTGTTTTACCTATTGAAAAGCTTGTTTAACATCCGTTCTCTCAAGTAAACTCACAATAATCATGTGGATAATCTTTCAGGACTTCCTTAGAAACTGAAGCAGATCATGGGCGCGACAACTAGACAATTCGCTTTCAGCGATATCGGAAGCCGGACGTGCGGAAGTGAAAGTTTTCTCGGAAGTTTGAAAGATCCTCCCAGCTTTAGTGGCATTCTGACAAAAATTTCCGATATGTACTTGAATATAAATGTTCTACAATCTCACCTTAATTTTCCATTCTTTTCAGCAAAATCAAATTTTTACGTCTCTTGAATAGGCACATTCCACAGTTGAGTTAATTAGGCGCTTACTGACAGACGATTGTGGGGAAATGCTGAAAGTAGACTAAATACGTGTTTAAAAGTTGTGAGAGTTTGGTTTGTTTGTTGTGTTGGAACCCAGAAGTGTTATCTTTCTTCCACCGTAAAACTGAAGTTAGACGAGGTGCTGAATTTTTCAGGCCTCAAGAAGATTTTATGCGAATTTCAGTTATTGAATTTTCCTCGGTTTCCGCTATGCAATTTATGCAGAAATTTCCGCTTTCAACGGACTTGTAATGCACTAGTCAGTGGAAAGCCCCGCACCACCATACCCGGGGAATAGCGGGGCATTAGACTAGGCCTCCCAACTAAATGAAGCGAATTCCCCGCTATGCGGGGCAATTTCTTATGTCAAAACCTCATTTTTATACCCCGCCCCCGGGGCAATACTTGAAAAATCACAAATACACAACGTTGACCGAAATTAATTTATTTCAAGAATTGTGCCTCAAATTGAACTCTTACAAAGACTTTTTCAATGTCTTCACAAAATAGATGAAACAATCATGGCTTCTTCTACTCCTCTTGGTAAGACATAGTTCCGTGAACTTTTCTCTGGACGTGTAAATGAATAAACTGAACACGGTCATTCAAGCAACGCATCAACACAAAACAAGTTAAAGATACACCCGAAATTGTAAATTTGGCAATAACTTCCTTTCAAATTGGCTAAAACCACTCCTAAAACAGTAATATCAATTAAAGGATTTAACTATACCCGAACACGAACTGGAGTAAATACTAGATTCTTAGACATAACAAGTCTCAACATACATTTGACATACAACTACATCTACAATAAGCCAGCAGGCGGTTGAATAATCACAAATAATGGTAGCTTACACACTACTCTGTTTGAACAAATGCATCATTACATGTAGAAGTGCCCAATGTGTATGTTTCAGACACATCATTTGCAATGTGCTTGAATGTCCTTTTGTATGAGAGTAAATTGAACAGTTTGGAGATATCACTTTTAGGATATTTTAACTGAACGAGTTGTTGGATTCACATGTATTGCTAATACAGTATACCCGTGTATAATACGGACATTTTTTTCTGTCAAGATAACCATCAAAATTGCGGTGCGTATTATACAAGGGTTCCATTGTTTGTCGGGCACGTACATTAATTTTGTCCTTGTCACAGATATCTTCAACTTTAATGTCGATCTAGTCAGACCAAGTCTCTGAATATTTCTGTAAAACCACAGCAGCAGTGCTGCTGAGTTTTGTAATAATCCTTGATTTTCATAATGACACCCTCAGTTTCACAAATGTCCACCGCCCACCTGCTGTCCTTATATTGAAATAAAACCTTTGAAAAACAAAATTTTATTGCCACTTAAAATACAGGGTTAAAGCCCTCAATAAGCTTTAATGTAAAATTGTTATTATTATTATTATCATCATTATTATTATTTTTATTAAGATCAAAATCGATTAGTGACCACCAAGTATAAGCTTTTATTATCCAACTACACTTAGACGAGTACAAATAACGCCATAGACGAGTACAAATATCACGCGGTATTTGTACTCGTCTATTGTAGAGTACCGGTTAAACAGGTTTTCTCGCATCGCGCAAGCGAAGAATTGGATTGTAGTTACGAAAAAAAAAAA